ATTAATATTTATTTACTTAGAAAATTTACATTGCCATTTACTCACACATGGCGACTCAAGGCAGCTTACAAGAATATAAATACCATATGAAATAAATAATAATAAAAATAATAAAAATAATACAATATGAATGCCATTATGACAGCAACTCTTTAAGTAACGATATTGGCATTTGCTACACGGAGGATTTGGCAGTTACTCAAAGTGTTTAATGCACAATCAAGCAAACTGTATCTTCTTGATTGTCAAAGTATGTCTGACATGTATTTAATAGCAAATATCTAATGAAAAATCAGTCTTTTTCAACCATAAACCCACAAAAATTTCCTTTGAAACTGTCATCCCAGAAAGATAAATACTTCTGTAAGAGACGATTATTTTTTTTAATTTATTTTATTTGGTTTGTCAATTGCTACAAGTTAATAGGTATAAGTAAAAACATAGTTATGAATATATGGATACATATAAGAAAAATAAAAAAAAACAATAGGACAGGGACGGTAGGCACGTTGGTACGCTTATGCACGCCCCCTACAGACCTCTTAGGAAAGGGGTGAGGTCAATAGTAGAAAGTCTAAGGTTAAAGTTTTTGATGTTTGGGGAAGAAACTACAGAGTCGGGTAGAGTATTCCAGACATTGACCACTCTGTTGCTGGAGTCGTATTTCCTGCAATCAAGTTTGGTGTGGTTAACTTTGAGTTTGTATCTATTGTGTGCTCTTCTGTTGTTATGGTTGAAGCTGAAGTATTCATTGACAGGTAAGTCATTGCAATGTATGATTTTATATACCATACTTAGATCAGACCAAAGACGGCGTAATTCAAGATTTTCTAGGTCTAGAATTTCAAGTCTGGTGGCATAAGGTATTCTACAATGAGTAGAGGAGTGGAGAACTCTTCTTGTGAAATATTTCTGGACTTTATCAACTGTGCTAATATTAGATACGTAATGTGGGTTCCAGACTGATGAGCTGTATTCGACTATTGGTCTAGCAAATGTTTTGTATGCTATAGTTAGTAGTGTGATATTACCAGAGAAAAAGCTACGTAGGATTAGGTTAACAACTCTTAATGCATTTTTGGCTATGTAGTTACAGTGGGCTCTAGCACTTAGACCATTAGAGATGAGTATTCCAAGGTCCTTTACAGAGCTTGGATCATCAACAAGGTCTTGACTATTCAGCTTGCATTTTATTTTCTGATTTTATTTGCCAATATGTAAGACAGAGCATTTATTTGTTGAGATTTGAAGTAGCCATTTGTTTGACCATTCTCATACATAGTCAAGGTCTTTTTGAAGGGTAGCAGTATTGTCTGTGGTGTTGAATAGCTTTACATCATCAGCGAAGAGAATGCAGTTTCTCTTAATATGATCACAGAGGTCATTTATGTAGAGTATGAAGAGAGTTGGTCCTAGAACACTGCCTTGGGGGACACCGCTGTTGACAGGTACAGAATTTGATAGGATGCTCCCAATTTTGACCATTTGTTGTCTGTTTGACAGGAATGCTTCTATCCAGTTATGCAGTTGTCCAGAGATACCATAAGATTTTAGTTTTAGGAGTAGTTTGTCATGTACCACTGAATCAAAAGCTTTACAGAAGTCTATGTAGATTGCGTCTATTGCTTTGCCCTGATCGAGTTGTGTAGTCCATATGTTTTTGCAGTGTAAGAGTTGCAGATTACAGGACAGTGTTTTTCTGAAACCAAATTGTTTATTAGAGAGTAGGTTGTTTGTCTCTAAGTGGAGGATAATGGATTGGTTAATAATTGATTCCATGGCTTGTGACCATAGTTTTGGCAAGGAGCTGGCCCTGAAAGATTTTTCAAAGATGATGCTTAGAGGTTCGACTATGGCAGTGGATAGCTTTTTTAAGAAGTAGGCACGTATTCCGTCCGGTCCAATGATAGAGATGGTTTTAGATTGCATAGTGCTTTTTCAACATTGTCTACTGTAAAATCAATATATATTAGATCATTGTATTAGATCATTGTATCATATGTATTAGTCTGTGGTTCGACTAGGAAATACTGGGCATTGCTGTTTACAAATACTGAGCCAAAAAATGTGTTAAAGAGGTTGGCTTTAATAGTGTCATCATTGCAGTCTTTACCATTAGGTCCTTTCAGGGGTGGGATGGACCTTGAGTCTTTTAGTTTGTTGTTTACAAAATTGTAGAAAGTGCGGGTGGAATTGGTGCGTAGAAGGTTTTCCTCTTGTTTAATGTGATAATTGGTGCATTCAGTCGTTATCTGGTGGCATAAATTTTTGTATCGGCTTTTGAAGTTGGCAACGTGGCCAGATTTGTTTTTCCGCCAAAGTGATCTCTTTTTGGATTGAAGCTTCCTTATTGTTATGGGCAATCTGTTTTTTCTGGGTTTTGGAGTTGTTATTGGTACATATAGTTTGATGACTCTTGACTTCAAGTAAAAATATGTTGTATTCAACAGTATTGCATCCAGTGAATAGAAACTGCCAATCAAGGGATGAGAGATCGTTGTCTATAAGATCATATTCTTTCAGATCAAGCTATCTTTAAGGAGAGAGCAATGTTATTAACATTACGTTATGGGGAAATGAAGCTTTACTCCCTATATGTCACATTTTTAATTGCCTCACCACACACCCCCTCTGTCATTTTGTGTAGAACATATGGCACCTTGCTTAGTTAGGTCTTAAAGCTCTTTAAGAACATTAGAGATTAAAATGTTTAATTTACAGAGTTTCAGCATTACATTCTTATTGTATTAAAAAAAAGATCCAAGTCTAAAGGACTACACTGGCCTAAACTGTACAATCTGTGAAAACAATACTATTTGTTCTATTTGGTGCATCATTCCACTTGAGATCAGATTAATCCTAATTTTGCTGGCCTTCTGAAAGGGCTTGAAAACATGGCTTTGCCATCTGAGCATGGGATCCAGTATTGCTAAGGAAACGGAATGTGTCCTGCAGATTTTTAATGGTTTTTAAAATAATTTTTAAATTATTTTATTATGCTTTTGGTTATTTTGTTGTATTGTTTTTGTGTTTTTAAATATGTATGCCTCTCAAAGGCATGCATCTGAAATGGACAGCTATGTAAATTTATCAAATAAAAATAAACATTCAGTTAGAATAGCATCAATAATTAGTATGAAAGTCAGTGTTATCAAGCACACACTGTGGAACATCAAGTTTTGGATTTTACTTTAGAATGATAAGTCAGGAAAATGAATATACAAACGTTTTATGATATTTATGTAGGGAAAGTAGATGTAATTAATTTCTTTGCCACAGAATGTTATGATGGCATCAAAAATCATTACGTGATAGTAAATGTATAGATGAGCTTTGCAGTGATAAACTGAACTAATGTACCCATAAGTAGGACTGGCATTTTTCAAGAGCACAAAGAGGCTAATTAAATTCGGAAGGCATACATCACCACAGCCATAACACACTTAATTGGATCATGGGGACAGTTAATATGTTGTGCAAGCACTCTAACTGAGCCAAGACAACTGACACAGTTAAAACTAATTAAGGATTTGTTTGGGGCTAAAGTAATTTCTCTTGGTCAGGAGAATGTTTTGAAAAGTACATAGCAACAACTCTCTACTACAACATGCTGCTACTGAAGCAAGCCATTTAAACGTAATTAAACAATTAAATTTATCTTGAACAATTTTTGAGACTGGAAACCATTCCACCAGAACAGCCAATTCTAAAGTACTTATTCGGACAGCCTCTCCCAGCATGTCAGCTTCCGGAGGTATGGAGTTATAGTTTCTGTAACCACAGCTGTCAATGGATTATGGGAATTCTTATTCAACAGCACAAATGGAAACCATTGCATAAAAAAAATCTACTGCACTTTTACACTACTGAACTTCACTTGCAATTTTAAAAGATCTCTGGGCAATGTTCAGATGTGAAGTAGCTTTCAAGTTAAAAATATAAAACAACAAAAAATAAAATCACTAATTAGTGCTATAGTTTGCTTCTTGCAGGTAGCCTTTGCTTAAAGGCCAATCTCTTAGCAACCGATCAAAGTTACGAAAGATTTCCCCCCAAAGGAACTTATGACCTGGTTCCAGAATTCTGCCTGTATACCCTTCCACATGATTGCATTTTGGGCACTTGGAAACTGGCTCACATTTACAGCCAGTTGAAAAGTTCGTTGGTCCCATGGCACAATTTACAACATTATTTTTTTGCTGAAAACTAGCCTTTTTGGCCAGTTTCCAGCCAAAAAAAAACAAAACGCCCTTAGGAATACATTGACTTGGTTAATGACTGCAGTGTCTCCTTTATGACTGCAATGTTTGCTTGATGACCATGGAATTTGCCAGACCATGGTCATAGAACTGCAAGAAAAAAGGTCAGAAAATCAGGTTGGTCATGTGATTGCCTAGACCTATGACCATTATGATTTAAAATTCCAGGCTCCATTAGTTTTAAGTTGAGGTCTACCAATAGTTCCTAAATCCCTGAAACTTCCTTATATTCTCAGAGGTATAATATGACTGATATTACCATCCGTGAATTTTTTGTGTTTTTGGCATTTCCACAATTATTACTTTGATTGCCACTGCCTTAAAATATTTAACTACATTACTGACAGAAGGTGCAAGCTGAAACATTGAAGTAAGCATTTTTAATGCTGATCTAAAATTCTCCAATTATGTTCAAAGTAACAGACATGTAATAAAAATGCCATTTTGAAATCAGCCTCTTTTCTGAAAAATATAGGGAAAAGAAGTCAGTACAGTGATAGTGCCTACCTTCTAAAATAGTGTTTCCATATAATATGTAAGTTACAAGGAGTCTCTTAGAAAATGTAGCACTATGGCACTATGAATGTAAAGTAAATAAATAAGATATATTTCAAATATTTGTTAAATGTTTATACATGAATTATATTTTTAACTAACAGCAATATCTTCATGTTTCTAACATCAATAATACTAATTGCAATAGCTGTAATTATTCAATTTCTTTCTCTTCCTGGATCTTACCTTTGGAAATATTTTTATTAAGTGCAACTAAGTGTTATGTATCCAGAGTTTTATGTTCATTGTTATCATCTCTGTTAATTCTTCAAGTCATCAAATATAAAGTTATTTTCTGCAACATCTGGGCTCCATTCTGATCCTAAAAGAAAAGACATGCTCAGTTCCTTATTACTTTGTGTAAGCACATCCTTAACACAGAAAACAATTTTGTTCCAACTATGTAAGAAGTTAATTGAATTCAAAGACCTGGCTGCATTAAGTATAGGATGCATAATTTTTAAGATAATTATTAGAATATCTTTTGTGCATTGCAAACATTTTTTCCCGTAATAAAAAAATAAATAATATTTTTTAAAAAATTATTAACATTTTAGGCAATTGCAAGACATTAGGGGAAAGTGTTGGTTTTTTTTTTTAAAGAAATAAAACTACGACACTGACCTCTAGTGTTGGAATTTGGAAATGAAGTTGAAATGAGCAGGATTTTATGCAATCCAATTCAGTAATTACATCTCAAGTGAGCACTTGTTCTAGTTAGGAGGCAATTTCCAAGCATGACTGGGCAGTGCTTTCTCTACACAGAAAATTTAAGACTATAGTTATCATATCTACTATATACCATTGCTTATTTCTACATGTCTCTCCTAGAAGAATTCAGAGAAGCGTACAAACTGAGGTCTACAAAATTAGGGCAAGTTTTTTTAAAAATGAAACAGTACAGTATTTGAGTCAACCAGATAAAACCCTTGGGAGTTATTTCCAACATTAGTATCTTATAACTTAATCTGTACTTCTGGTTGTAGTATGTCCCCAATGGAACAATGATCAGGGCCTCTCCAGGGAATCTTAATGACTGTTGGAGAGTATACTTTTTAAATACCTTGATGGAAAGCAGCACAGCCATCAAACATACTAGCCAGAGATTAGGAAGCTAAAGGGCAACACAACCAGAGGAGTTCATAAAAGAGAAGGCGAATTCTAAATGCATAGAGCCTAGCCTGGGTTTAAGAAAAGTATTGATGTAAGACAAGCTATAAAAACCTTTTTTATCACATAAAACAGAGCAAAAATGTGTTCTGCTCCAATCTATTTAGCCATTCAATGAATTCCTGATGTCCACAGTTCTTTCCTGGTTTTCCTTGACTTTGACATGCCTCCTGGCATACTTCAGCAATCACTTCTTTCTTTAAACTTCTGATATTATAATAAAAGAAAGCATATCCAGTCTTGAAATCTACAGTCCAAAATTAACCAACTTTAACTAAATTAACTAATTTTTGCATACCAGTTATTGAAGTACAAATACATCTAGTAGAATGAATTCAACTTCTTTCTGTTTACTGCTTTTTTTCCCTTCTTCTTCTTCTTCTATAACCCTTCTATCTGGAATTTAGTTTGCATGGTCCAAAGAGTGCTTGTGTTATGAAGGCATACTGGTAGAATTATGTGAGATTGGAGGAAATTGGCAAAACACAATAAATTTCTGACATGAACATGTAAAATGATTTATAGCAATTCCAGCATGTCAGAGGACTCAATTTCCTGCACACTTAAGTTGTAAGAGACATGTAACAGGCAAGACAATTGTAGTGCTATTCTTTTAAATTTTAAATATCTCAAGGTGGCAAGCATACCTAACACTCTTTTTTTCCTCCTGTTTTATTTCCCCTGCAAGAACTCTGTGAGGTGAGTTGGGCTGAGAGAATGAATGGCTCAAAGTCACCCAATTGACTTTCATGCCAAGGCAGGAAACTCAGAATTTCTTGGTTTCTAGCCTAATGCTTTAGCCACTAGACCAAACACGCTCTTTTAGTTTTTTAGTTTTAGTGACATGCAGAACACTGAGTACATTCTCATGAGATGCCTCAAGTATTCTGCCTGTACTAATTTGTCTTTGTCATTAAAGAAAAACAAAGAATTTTGCTAAATTATTTGTTTAGCCAAGTGAAAATCATCAGATAATTGTGCATTGTGTTTTCACTTCAGTCTTCCAAAATGGGTGGCCATCATAAATGTAAATGCTAATAGACTAACTCAGTTATAATAACTGACCCCAAAAGTGCTTTATCAAAAGACAACTAGATTTTGAAGACATTTTGCTTCTCATCCAAGAAACTTCTTCAGCTCTGACTGAATGGTGGAGGATGGGCGGATTTATGAGGAGTTTATTGAAGGAGGATTTATTCCTTAAAAAAAAAAAAAAAACACTTCTAGTAGCCTTTTGAAAAAGACTTTTGGGACAACATGACCTGAATGACTGAGAATACAGACACTTGTAATAACTGACGTTAGAAATTTATATAAACTTATAACTGACATTAGAAATTTATATAAATGTATAACATTGCAAATTTTTGCCAAAATGTCAGAATTATCTATTGACATTAAATACAATAAGGCTGGACAGCTTGTCATCTTTCAGATATTTTTTGATTATTTTTCCTTATTGATTGCCCATTCTGATTGAGTTGATGACAGTAGTGATCTATCCTGTGGTTTGTACATTTTATATTTATCTCTTTATTTTAATAATAATTTATAACACATTTTAAAATAAGTTTTAATCCCCAGGCAATATGTTAAGAAACCTTTGATCTTATACAAAGAAGATGCTATCCCATGCAATTACAGAGTTACATGCTGCATTCATTTTAGATGTCTGTTGAACCACATATGTTGTAATGTATATTACAATTACAGAATAGAATTTCTATGTTACTGTGTTATGTTCATTTCCCAATATTGTATTTTATGTATTTATGCCCAGACCGCATCTAGCTCCATGTGATGTTCAGTTCAGTTTAAAAGAATTTATTACATAAGAAAATAAAAATAAGACATTGACACTTTTCCCAATTTGCAACTCTCTCTCAGAAAATCAATAAGATAAAACATTTACTTTGGTCACATCGGTATACAAAGATTTACAAAGTGATATTTAATGTCTTTAGGTATTCTTTTATTTGCTGATCTATGATTGATTAAACATTGCTTGCTTGCTTGCTTGCTTGGTACTTATCTATTTATTTCTTAAATCATAAATGTCCTGGCAGGAATAAAAGAGTCCTTGTGTTGTTGTGTGTAGTGTAAAGGCATAATAAATCAGAATCAGCAAATAAGTAATAAGAAATAGCATTCTGTCTCAACGTAAGATTGAATGTTTTGCCTTATTGAAAAATGTGGCAAAATTACAAAAAGTTCTATACAAATAAGAGACATTTCAATGCAGCACTCCAGGAATGGCTAATATAGGGTGAATAGAGAGAATGTCAAATTGAAATGTACTATTTAACAGAAAATACAGAAAAAAACTTTATTTTTTTATCTGTACATTGTAAATTATGAATATAAAGAGTTGAGCTTCCATATTAATGCAAAAAAAAACAACCCAACTGAAATAAGTCACTTGAAGAAAAGACTAATATATTTGTGGTTTGTGGTTTTTTGTTTTTGTTTTGCTTGGAGCAGAGGTGGATAAGAAGAAACATGAAAAAAGTTAGAATGGATTCACAATATTTGAGGGGTGAGGACTAAACTTAGTGTGACAACTTTCTGGGAAGCATGCAACCTCTGACTTTTTGATTGAGTTTGGTCAAGAGTGGGACTAAGAGGCTTTTGGGAGACCATTTGCTCTCACCCAACTTTGGGGATTAAAGCTGAAGGGAGGGGGAACTATTATTGGCTGCGGGAGGTGGCCTGTTCCTGGTATTTATAATTATATATGATATGAAAATAAGGATAGTTTTTCTCCCCTTCTCACAATATTAGATCTATTGGGAGATTCAGATTCCAAACAAGGACATTTTATGACTTAAATTATTTATAGCCATTAGATGTGGAAATGGTCCTTCATTTAGATGGTTTAAAAACAGGCTTAAACATTCCTTATTATTTATTAAATGTTTATGCCATCCATCTTCCATATAGAACACTGAAATGTTTATCAGAGAAAGTAAAATGTTTTTTTTTCTGCCATAGGTGTTATTATTGGTGTAATGGAAAACCATTTTTTAAAAAGCCCCTTTTATGTTGCATTCTTACCTAGGTACTTCAGAAAGGAACTCTATTAAATATGTAAAAGACATGATAGAAGCTATACAGTGAATGTTTCAGTTTTAGAAGAGGCAATCGTTTTGAAGTGTGCATCTGATAACCTTTCAAACATATAGATTCTGGATTTCAAATATTTGAAGGGCTGCCACAGATGATAACATTTCTTGCTCGGGAATTCCAAATTGCAGGACATCATCATCATCCAAAGATTAGAAAAGAAGCTGAGCAGATTTCTAACAGGATTTTGTTCCAGTAGGCAGACACTACATCACATAGTTAAATGTTTGTTTTTACAAAACTCTTTCTTTACAAGTGTCCTGCAAATAGTAATTACTAATACTAACTTTCAACATCACATTGATTTGTTTTATATATACAGCAGAACACAAGTGCCTAGAAAGCCTAAAAAAACCAGACAAAGATAACATAGCATAGACTTTATGACATCATTCCCCAACAAAAAAGAAAGAAAGAAAGGAAAAGCAACATCTCTTGTTTTAGGATTGTGACAAATATCAGAAAATATCCAGATCCCTTTCTCAAAATAATTATAAAAGGTTTGTGGGAAATCTGCTTGATGGAATCTTGGAGAGGCTGATTTGCATTTGATTTTCAGAAGTGGGTCTTCCTTTATATTCTCTGAACAAATCCATGCCATCTAGCTACATAATGGATTCTCTCCTTTTTCATTTCCCCATGTTAGCTTTTTTATTGCAAATAGGGTTCTAAATCTTGCTGTAGAAAAGAAAATTGTAGGGTATGGAAGTATGTGTTCAAAGGAAGCTATCAATAACATTAGTTATGAAAACCTGATCATAAGTGTTTTTAGTCCATTAGCCATTCGGCTTTATTTATGTCCTCTTTTCCACTAGAGTTTGGAGCCAGTTATTTAAGAGATGAAATTTGGAAGAGAAATGGTGCACGGTGATATAAAACATGGACATAGTCCTTATGCTAAAAAAAAAAAAAAATCCTCTCTTTCTTTTTTTAAAGAAAGAATAAAGTATTAATCCTGGTCTGCTCTTTGTTTTTCCTGGCAACATTGAAGCAATGTTAAAAATCCAAAGTTGCCAAAGTAGAAGGTAGTTCACAAAAGAAATCTTCTCTTCTTTTTCAACAGATGCAAAACATTTCCCTAGAACTGGGAGATCTATAAGCACTCTGAATTGAGCTTTACACAGTGAAATGAGGGTTAGAGGAAGTGCCATAATCAGAATTTAGTTCCATGTGCATGATGGCTTCCCCCCCGCCCCGCTGTTCTGCAAGAAACATTTCATAATTTTGGCAGTTCATAATTTTTGACAAGAATTTTGAGGGGGTAAGGCTTTGGCTTGCAAGAGGTTATAGATTCCCATGAGCCTGGCTAGTGGTGTTGATAAAGCAACCTACAGTAGCCCCACAAGTAAGATAGGTAGCAAATAAATTTAACCAATAAATAAACAGTAAATTCATCCAGTTCAATCTTCCTAGGAGAAATTATTAATGGCCATACTTTAGGGAGATGTAGAGGGCATAGGGAATAGAAGGATCGCATGAGGCAAAGATCAGACAAGTAGGGACTGAGCCTACTCCAAGAACCTTATTTGAGCAAACATCTCAGGGAAGACCCTCCCTTATTCATTCAAAGATAAAGGGTGGGAGAGGAGAGCACATTCAGACTTCCAAGATTTTGTGATTATAAATTTAAAAATAGTTTTATATCAGATTCCATTTATAGGAGAGAATTCTGAAAGTAACAAAGTCCCAAGGTATAAAGGGGATTATAACAATAATTAGCACTGTGTATTGTATCTGGAAGCCTATTGGTAGCTAATGCAGTGCTCCCAATATATGTGTCATCTGCAGGCATGGCTGCATTCTTTGTGAATTACATTTTTCAAAGTGTCTTCAGTGTAAAACAAGGATCTTCAAACTTGGCAAGTTTAAGACTTGTGGATTTCAATTCCCAGAATTCCTGAGCTAACATGACTGGTGGAGGAATTCTGGGAGTTGAATTCCACAAGTCTTAAAGCTGTCAAGTTTGAAGATCCCTGGTGTAAAATGCATTACAGTAAACACAAGGACAAAATGAAAAGGGTAGCAGTTATTTTGCCATTTCCAAAATGGCCACAACTGCTATATCAGCCCAAATAAGGCAAAGGCTCTTTTGGCCACAACTACCTGCTGTTTAAGCAGAAGCCACAGGTCTAAAAGGACTCTTAAATTAC